CATGTTTTTTGTTCAGCAGCATCTGAGGAAGGTGACTTGCTTCACTCTCAGTACTGCTTCTGATCACTTCAAGAGTATTTTCTTTATGGAAAAAAAAGGAGGGGAGATACAAAATACCATCAGGTTGTGAGCATTTAGCATAGGTGGTGTTTACAGAGATGGTTGATAAAGCTTCGATTAAATTCGTTTGGATTTAGTTCTAACACACCTGAAGCAGAGCTTGGCATGTGGCTCAGGGGAAGTCGCCTAGCATGCGAGGCTCACCTGGATTAGGTTCTGGCACAGCTAAACAGACCCAAAATACCCAGAATGTCAAACCAAATAATTTGTTTGGGAATTCTACAAGATTTTTACATCTTTCTGGATACTCCTATGTTTCTAATAATGTATTTTTCTCTCTTTAACTTTCTTATTCTTTTAAGATATAGACTTCTGCTTTGAAAAATATACATGGGTTACAAAAACAAAATCTGACATCTGTCCCAACTGCCTGTTCCCAAATAAACACAGAGGCTTACGTGAATTATAAAATTGGCAGCAGATAGTTCAGGCTTATTACTAGCTAACTCTTACACTTAAATTAACCCATATTCCTTATATATGCTCTACCATATGTTGGTAATTATCAGTGTGGCAGGTTCATCCTCTGCTCCCTCTGCATTTGGCTGGCGACTCCTCACTCTCCCTTCTCTTTCCATCATCCTTAGTTTGGTCACCCAGCCTATACTTCCTGCCTGGCTACTGGCTAATTAGCATTTTATTAAACTAATTTGGGTGACAAATCTTTACAGGATACAAGAGAATTATTCCACAGCAGACATCAGTTTATTTTCGTCCACTTACCTGTTCTCATCATCTCTTTGAAGCCTGTGAAGTCAGTTTTAATGCCCGTCAGATTTTCCTTGGTTCTCTGAATGTTTCCTTTTATGCTAAAACTAGTAACACGGTATGAATGTGCGAGTGTGAACTGGAGTCGCTCCTCGATGCAATGCATGGCCATTTTTATTAACTCATCTTTGATCCCTTGGTCTTTTTCTGCTGCTTGCAGAACACCAGGATTGTAGGCAACATCAATGACTGTATATGAACCTGTGTGTCGTTCAGAAGAGAGCTTGTTTCTATAAGGGTTTTCGTCAGGCAGTATACTAACCCATATTAGTAAAGTTAGAAACTACAAATCCCTAGAAATTTTTAGAGCAATCACAGCAGCATTGTGTTAAGCCAGCAGTGGCTGCTCCAGAAAGGAAGCTGACACAAAAGCACCCGCAGAAGAGATACAGTTTATTAGGAGACGGCTTTGAAGTGAGATGAGAGGAAAAACCTTAGACAAGAATAATGCAGTAGATGGAGATCTAAGCGTGATGGGGCCTTAATGGGAACTACTGGCTTCCCTTTAAGGCTTGGTGAGGAGCGCCATAGAATAAGAATGAGAAGTAGTGTGGGAGAGAGGGTTAGCCACCATAAGAGAGGTGATAGACGAGCAGCTGCCAGGCACTTCCATGAGCAAACCCCCTTGAGGACCAATCCAAAGAACAAAAGAAAAAGTTGATAACATTTTAGGAATGAGAGTAATGTTCGGTTGGAAGCTCCAGCTCACCCCTGCATGATCCTGGACACCCCATTCTTGTCTCTTTTTCTCTCAAATTTCCACCCACTAAGACAGTCTCTGAACAAAAGAAAAGTGCCCAAAAGCCCAGTTTGGCATTCTTGATGGGTACTACAGCTTTCTTCCCTGAAGCTGGCAGGACCCACGTCCCAGCCCAAACACTCAGCTTTTAACTATACTTGGGCACAAACAAATTCAGCTTGTGGCAGACACCTTATCACCTCACGCCTACAACCTATAAAGTCTCCCTGATTTTGTTTGTGGGTACGGCTTCTCTGGCCTTGATCTCTGAGATGGGAGAACCTGCCTGGGAGTTGCATTGCTCAAATAAACTTGTTATACTTTTTCAGTTCAGCTTGATTTGGTTTACTGTATTGGTGGAGAAACCTATTATGGGGTAGGAGCAGAAAATCTATTAAGTAAGTTTTACATCACATAATTACTTCAGGGTTGGAGAGGTGGCTCAGAGGTTAAGAGCACTGACTGCTTTTCCAGAGGTCCTGAGTTCAGCTCCCAGCAACAACATGATGGCTCACAACCATCTATGAGGAGGTATGGTGCCCTCTTCTGGCATGCAGGCATACATGCAGGCAGAATACAGTATACATAATAAATAAATAAATAAATAAAATCTTAAAAAAATAATCTACTTCAGTATAGCGTACATGACATCATGGAAGAGCCAGGTGATCATGAATTGAAAGTTGTCAAATCACAGCAAGACTGATTTTTTTTTATTTTATGTGCATTGATGTTTTGCCTGCATGTGTGTCTGTGTGAGGGTGTCAGATCCCTAGGAACTGGAGTTACAGACAGTCATGAGCTTCCATGTAGGTGCTGGGAATTGAAATGACGATCTCTGGAAGTGCAGCCAGTGCCCTTAACCATTGAGCCGTCTCTCCAGCCCCCACAGCCTGATTCTTTACTCTGTCTCAGAGAAAGATGCAGGGAGGTATGGTCAGATTCAGACTGTAGGATCTGCCCTATAGATGCCGACCCCTGTTCTAACACATAATACACACTAAGTTCCTATTCTATGTTGGCATTTCTATGTGGGTTGAAACCATCATATTATCAGAAATCATATTAAATGTACATAAATCACACTAATTTGTCATTAATTATATTAACATCAAATGAAATGTTTTACTTAAAATGTTTTTGCCAAGTAGAATGTGGTCTATGAATATGTTCAATAAAGAATCTACATATGCTTTCTTTAATTCTTTATACCTGATGCCTCAGAGAAATCTTCTGGTCTGCCAACAGTTATAGGTACAGGATGATTGGCTGACTGGGGAGCCGGGATCCTTTTCCATTGACACAGGTTGATAAAAAGTACTTTTTCTTTTGGTTTCTAGAAAGTGAATAATTTTGATATTGTCAATTTTTTAAAAACGAAACTTGGCCTGGCGGTGGTGGCGCATGCCTTTAATCCCATTACTTGGGAGGCAGAGGCAGATGGATCCCTGTGAGTTCGAGGTCAGCCTGGTCTACAAGAGCAGGTTCCAGGACAGGCTCCAAAGATACAGAGAAACCATGCCTTGAAAAAAAGCAAAAAAAAAAAAAAAAGAAAGAAAGAAAAAAATGAAATTTGATAACATCCTGAATGCAAGTCATCACATTTTTTCAGGCCTTCCCATTGCTAGGCAACAGTCCTTGCACATGCACTATCTTGAACCCATACACACATAAAATGTAATAAAATATTTTTAAAAAATTAATTCATTATATCACCATTTTCTACCTAACAGGGCAATAAGGTCTCATTTGGCTATTTCTGAAATACCTAGTATGAATTTCTCATTTTTACTCCTTCAGTGAAATCTTCCACACTGTTTCATTTTCTGCTTAGAGAGGCAATTTTCCTAAACTTCTCTTGTGTTAAAGTAGCACTAGAGAAAGGCGAGGCATCGTCTAGTTATCCTGGCGTAGTTCCATTGAACACCCATCACTTGTTGCACCTACTGTACATACTAGGATCTTGGTTTGTAGGCAGAGTTGTGGTTCTGGGTCGATACACAGCTGTTTTCCATCCTTCAGTTCCTGTTCGATGAAGTTCTTGTAGCGCTGAGGATCATTTTCAGCCAAATCATCGAGCATATTCCAGAACTGAGAAATCTGGGTGAGAAGTCCCTTTGAGGATGCCCTCATGACTGGAGATGAGATAGGCTCTAGAACCTGTGGAAAGACACGGCTTGAGAAGAGGCATGACTGTGTGGCTATGGCCTTACTTCCTCTTTAAGGGAAGGAGGAAGGCTTTTGGAATGGTTTTGGGGACGTTCTCAACTGTTCTTACTTCCTATGTGTAAAAGATTGCACACTCACTCTGCTTTCCCTCGGTTCTGGTTCTTCTACAGTCTGTAAGTCTAACCACTTCCTAAATTCTCACATTGTACCTGTGCTTCTCTCTGGTCAACACAAACACAGCGGGAGCAGAAAGGTCTTTTGAAGTCTTGTTTTTCCTGGTGATCTTGTTCCAAGTGGATATTGGTTTATTTGGTGCCCCTCAGTCCAGAAATTGTGTGTGTGTGAGAGAGAGAGCGAGGTGGGGGGGGGGAGAGGGAGGTGGAAGAGAAAGAAACACATAAAGTCACACTAATCCTTAATATAGTAGTAAAAACTAGGAACACTGAGCAGGACATTGGTGATGCGTACCTTTAATGCCTGCACTTAGGAGGAAGTGGCAGGTGGATCTCTGTGAGTTCAAGGCCAGCCTGGTCTACAGAGAGAGTTCCAGGACAGCCAGGGTTACATATTGAGATCCTACCTCAAAAAACTGGGCGGGGGGTGGTGGAGGAGGTAGGGACACTGGAGCCAGTATGCTTAAGTTCTTCCTAACTCCAGGCAGCTATGATGCCTTGAGCAAATAATGCACACACACACACACACACACACACACACACACACACACACACACACCTATTCTTCTCAAAATGAAGATGAGGATTAAGAACGCTAATCCTAAAGCTGGAACACTTGATAAATACTATGTGAGAGTAGTATTCTAAGATCGCATCATCTCCCTCCTCCCGCAACGGAGAAGTGTCCCAGACGGTCCACAAAAATTTTAAAAGGCGGTTTAGAGTCTTTAAACTCATGTATTAAGGTTAGATTTAATAAACAATGAATACACAGTTAATCCAAACGTGGAGGAACCCACCTCTTCACTCCGTTTGGAGACCAACCGCGACTCCTGTTACCATGGTAACTAAATCCGGTCCACCATCTAACTGTGTCCGGGGAATGCAAAGTAGTGCCTTGTCTCTATATCCAGTTCCGGGACCTTTCGTCCTGTGCCGGACAGGCTCCTCGGCCGGGCCGTCCCGCTTCCCTCTCAGAAGAGTGCCGGCTTCCTTCCTGCACCTGTCAGCCTCCCCGGCGGCCCGCGAGCCCGCTCAGTGGGAGTCGCCCATGGGAAGGAAGCGTTTCTCGGGAGCACGACTTCCGGCCCGGAAGGAAGCCGCCGCCTTTTCTCCCACCCCGCCACGCGAGGCTGCGGCGCACGGTATGGGTGTGTTTGTGTGTGTTTGTGTTGGGAGGGCGTTTCGAGGGAAGGCTACCGAGAGCGCCGAGGCCGCGGCGGGGCAGGGAGCCCGCTGACAGACATGGGGGTGTTTTTTCCGACTTCCCCTTGGAAACCTCAAGCTCCCCCTCAGGCACCTTAGACAGTTCCGGGGTCCCAACGGAAGGCCACGTCCATGCCCCGTGTCCCCTTTCTGTCTCGGGAGTGAAACCGAGCCGCCGGGCGCTGTCCCAGCCCAGCGAGAGCGGGGAATGCCCGGCTCCGCC